ACACCTCCTGAGAGAGAGAGAGAGAGAGCGAGAGAGAGAGAGAGAGAGAGAGAGAGAGAGAGAGAGAGAGAGAGAGACTACAGGAGGAGTCACCCTCGCTCGGCTCACTCGGGTCTCCAGCAGCTCTGTGGCCCCGGCAGAGGAGAGCCCGGTATGGGCAACTCTTTACGCGCGGCCGCCCTCCTGGCCGTGGTGGTTCTGTCCATCCTGGTGTCGCTCCTGGTCACCAGCGTGCAGCAGCTCGGGACCAGAACCTTCTCRAACGCGTCTGCTCCTACTTCTTACGGTGAGGAGGAGGAGGAGCAGCGGGAGGTGGAGGGGGCGCTCCGCCGGGCTCTGCTCCACCAACTGGAGCTGAGGCGCAGAGAACTGGTCCCGCTGCTCCTCCCGGAGGATGAAAACGGAGAGCGGCCGGACCCGGACTCGGTTTTGGGTTACAGCCCGTGGAACGAGGTGACGCTCGGCTCCCGGGACCTGGGTTGCGACTCCCTGGTGGACATGCAGGCGGTGGAGGTCCTCGGGTCCGGGTACACCAAGCTGGTTGTCAGGGCGCGCCTGGCCGGAGCTCGGGCCCCCGTGGCTCTGAAGCTGGTCAACGAGCAGGGCGTCGACATGAGCAAGTGTGTGGAGGACTTTAAAGACCCCCGAGGCTGCCGGGAGCTGGTTTCCTACAAACTGAGGAGGGAGATGATCCTGTTGGACCGGCTGAGACACCCGAACGTCATCCAGGTGAGGAAAACCCTTCAGACCCAGCTGCAGACTCATGACAAGTCTTTCCCCTTTGTCTCACACGAGCTGCCTGTGCAGGGCCCTGCTCATGTAATTAAATTAAATTCACTGACCCTGCTCTGACCTTTGGGTCCAGTTCTGCAGCACAATGTCCTCCCTGTCCTCCTGCCTTCATCTGAAACTCTGAGCTCAAACCGTCACGTTCTCCATTTAGAGCCCGTGAAACCCCTCAGTTTGTGTGACAACAACAAGCAGACTCTTCTTTAACTCAAACAGTTGCTCTCCTCTCTCTGCAGCTGAAGGGTCACTGTGCAGGAGTCCAAGGAGGAGGAGGAGGAGGAGGAGTGGAAAGGGGAAGAGTGGCGGTCGTTCTGGAGCAGGGGGCTCCTCTGCAGATGATCCAGCTGCTGCAGAGCCCCTGGGAGGACAGATTCAGGGTGAGGAGCAGAGACCCAGGTTCCTGTGGAGGAGAAGGTTGAGACATCTGCTGATCAGGGCCTGGAGTT